ATATCTGAACAATCAGTTGTATGGGAGCTATAGGTTATAGTGACCCGATCTTTGTAATTTTCACTGTAAGTATTCTGTTGATAATGGGTGCAAGTACGGCAAAAAACAGCGCGAAATTTCATGTTCCTGGCTGCATAAATGGAGAAGTTATAACGAAAAATCTCATATCTGAACAATCAGTTGTATGGGAGCTGTATGTTATAGTGGTCCGATTCTTCCGGTTCCGACAAATGATTAATACATTATAAAAATACACCCACCTACCAAATTTTATCCGGATATCTCGAAAACTGAGAGACTAGATTGCATACAAACAGACGGACAGATGGACATGGCTAAATCGACTCAGCTCGACGTTCTGATCATATAAGTATACATTTTAATGGGTCTATCTCTTTTTATTCTGGTACTTACAAACATCGGACCATTTCATGCTCACGAAAGGTATAAAAATTAATTTTGGGCGGGACGAAGTTCGCCGGGTAAGCTAGTTTAACATAACGGTTGATAAGATAATTGCGACAATTTATTGAGAGCGACATAAATTACCCCAATAACTAAATGTTTAAAGTTTTTTTTATTTCTTTAAATTTAAATAGTACATACGGATCTGTAGAGAACATAGAGATCCGTGTGTGTATAAAGTAAAACCGTATTATAAATTATTTGGTACTGAAGAGGTACAAATGCGCTCATGAACAGAAAAAAGAAAGTCGCAGAACGAGCAGACGCACAAAATTCAGAGTGCTGCGGAAATATAAAAATAAGATTTGTAAAATATTTAATTTAAAATTAAGAAAGAGATTTTAATAACGCAATGAGCAAAGAGAAACGGATTTACGAATGCAATGTTAAAAAATTGCATCGACATCGTAAGTTATCTACTTCTGCAGTCCTATTGCGCTGTGGATTTAATAGAAACAAAATTGAAAGATCCAGGGTATGCACAAGTCATGGCAATGAATTTTATTAGGGGTCTTCATCTAAAGTGATAAAGGGATAAATTGCTTAAATTTCTCGTTTATACGCATTCCTTTTTGAACGCACCTTGGTAAATAATTGCACAAACTTGTTTATTATTTATCTTATATGGCTTGTTACGTTTCATTATTACCTCGTCCATTGTGTGTAGCACAACCCACCTTCCTATTTTTTTACCATGTCAAAACGTATATTGTAGAAGGAGGTGAAACATCACATGTACACAAAGTTTCCATCAGATTTTTCACCTGCCCTTAACCCCACGTCTCCATTTTCAACTAAATGTGTCTTAACGTCTGTTATATTTCTGTTTTAACTTTGTCCCGTTTTCGCATGTGGGCAAATAAATAACTGCTACCAAACTGCTGTGAAATTATAAGTGAAACAAAACAAACAGAACGGATAATAAATTGAACCAAATCTCTATCAGGATCATGTCATTTTTGTTGAATTTTCGTGCAAAATTTTTATGCGGATCCCGATTATTGCCCATCCAGAGTTGCGAAAGAGTTGCATTGGCTTCAGTTTATCAAGTTTATTCAGTGAAATCGCAGGAGAAATTTATCAGAAATATGTAAACGAGTTTTCATACAAAATTTGACAGTTAATTTATAAGGTCTACACAATTATAAGTTTATACATAAATGCATTTATAAGGTTTGATGAATTACCTTAATATATTTTTGGCCGTATAAAGTTACGACATACACCGTTGTGAATGCCCCAATAGCAATTTTTTTCTCCGGCGTTAATTCGAATTTACCCATAGTGCTTGAGGCGCAGTGGTTAAAACAGAATCAAGCTTTTAATCAAATACCCCGCTCTAGTTTGTTGCCTTTCCTGTAGATGTCGCCCTGAATGGCATGCAATCAAGGCAATTCGCCTTGCATGCAACTCTGCACATAATCTTTTCGCTTGTTTTGCTGTCAAAAAATTGGCGAATTCATTTAATTCGCTTTGTAGAAAACGTGCGAACTTTTGCGGTACTCGGCCTTTATCGTCTTGCTTGATTAAATATTTTATTTTACTTATTTACGCAATTTCAATGGCCCCAACTGAAGCGGCAGAAGTCGCAGAAGAAACTTGTGCTCCAGAGACCGGTACTCAAAAGAAGGCCCCGAATGGAACACCGCTTGGAAACTTCGCATCAGTAGAGGAATTCGCGAAGGTGATTTTCACAAAAGATTGAAAAATTAAATATATTCTTAACACAATTTATTAATTTTTATTTAGAATGGCTTAGTTGAGATAGTGGAGGCAACAAAAGCTGCGAACTCTTTTCCACAGGGTGCTGCTCGCGATTTGTACAGCGCTTATCCCACCTTTGGGCGGATTGTGGATGAGCAGTCAGACCGTATACTAGGATTGATATCGAATGTTTTAAAATGGCAAAATGTAAAGGGCAATATACAGCGGTGAGTAATTTTACCTTTATATTTTTGATTTGCATATTTATACTTATTTATTAACACTTTTAAAATTAGCCGTCAACAAGATGAGCAGTTCGAAATGCTTTTGGAGTGTAACGATGCTATTATGGAGCGTTTGAACTCAAATTTGGATGAATTGGCAGGAATTAAGAAAAATCCACAAACGATTGTTGTGGAATCGCATTTAAATGTAGCATCTGGTAAACCTGCTTCTGGGTCTGGCGCTGGTAGTTGGAATTTAAAGAAAAATGAAACATCTCCCGTAGCAGCACGCTTGATTACCGCAAAAAATATTGCGCGACCGCAATTGAAATTTAAAGTTGCCGTGGACAACAGTGCACTGACACCTTTCATTCCCAGAATAAAGGATAAACCAAATTCATTAAAACCCTTGGCAGTGCTACCAGAATATGATGAACATGGAAATATTATCAGGTAAGTGACAATAAACGCAGTTTTATGCAGATACATATAGGCACTTATTTGTTTGTAGTTACTTACATCCGTATGAATTTGAGCTAATGAAATTGCAAATACCCGCATCTCAGTTGAAGCCCTCCAACCCTGTAATGCCTGCAAAAATGGACGAAACTGAGCTCTTATATGTAGACACAATTCCCAAATTGAATACAGCCGTAGAAGAGTTACGTCAGCACCGTGAAATAGCCATTGATGTGGAACACCACTCGTATCGTACCTTTCAGGGATTCAGTTGCCTTGTGCAAATCTCAACACGTGAAAAAGATTATCTATTTGACGCTTTAGAGTTGCGTGATGAAATGCACATACTCAATATTGTGTTGACGGATCCAAAAATAGTTAAGATATTTCATGGCGCTGATATGGACATTGAGTGGCTACAGCGAGATCTTTCATTGTACGTAGTGAACATGTTCGACACACATCAAGGAGCAAAGGCACTAAATTATGCCCGTTTATCCTTATCATACTTACTCAAACATTATTGTGACATTGAGGTTGATAAAACATTTCAATTAGCCGATTGGCGCATTCGCCCACTACCAAACGAGTTGGTATCGTATGCCCGCCAAGACACACACTATCTTATTTATATTTTCGACCGTATAACCAATGATTTGCTCGAAGCCGGAAGTCGGCAAACAAATTTGCTACTTAACATTTACCAACGCAGCACCGAAATTTGCAAGAAACGCTATGTTAAGCCACATGTGACAGCCGATTCGCACATGGATATTTATCGAAAGTCGAAACGTATTTTCGACAATCGCCAACTTTATGCATTGCGTGAAGTATTTCAATGGCGTGATTCAGTTGCTCGACAAGAAGATGAGAGCTATGGTTATGTCTTACCTAATCACATGATTTTGCAAATTTCCGAAAGTTTGCCCCGTGAAATGCAGGGTATACTTGCGTGCTGCAATCCCATACCGCCTTTGGTTCGGCAAAATCTACACGTGCTGCATCAAATAGTGCTGCGGGCGAGGGAACAGCCACTGGTAAAAGTAAGTAGCAGGATTTTTGTTTTCGTCTGTTTTATCTATACATACTTCTCAATTGCAGCCCGTGTTTGAGACAGAAACGATACATCGCGTTGTAAGCACTAATACCAAGGATTACAACAGCAAGTTGTATTGTCCACACGACCTTTCCCATAACGAAGAGTTTCGCGATGATCTACCAACGTTGCTTAGTTTCCGCAACAACCCCATACTGCCGTCGCCTGCTGAGGTTAACGTAAGATTGGCAAAACCTGTTCTAAGCATTTATGAAACACCGGAGCCCTCAGATGAAGTAAGCTTATATGTGCGTAACTACTTGTATTGCAATATTTCTGAAACTATTTTTTAAATTTTCAGGATGAAGATCAGAGAAAACAAAAACAACTGTATAGTAATATTAAGTTTGTTAGTCCGTATCAGCGCTATTTGGCCGTGTTACCGTTGGTCGAGAAAGAAAAGGCAGAAGAAGCTGCACGCATTGAGGCTGAGAACAAAAAACGTCAGCTATGCCCGGCTGCAAATCCACTACTCGCCAAAACGGAGGTAAGGAACTTATTGCACCAGTGTTTGGTGGTTATTTTGCTAAAAGATTTTTGTCCTATTAGATGGAAATTAAAGTAGAATCTGCTGATGATGAGTACAGTTTGCCAATAAAAGAAATACTAAAACGTACACATGAGGAAGCAATTGCGAAAAAGAGTAAGGCGATGGATCCAGAGGAGCCCAAGGCAAAACGCTTCAAAACTGTAACGCCTATCGATGATAAACTGAAGTTTGTTAATTTGCCACCCACTAAAAGAGAATTACAAGCTAATAAACATGCGGCAAACAACACAGAAATCAGCACTGCCGATACAAAAACAAAACAGTCTGCTGCCTCAAACACTGCTAATGAATCTAGCAACTCTGTGCATACAATTAGTGATGACTCGGATAGTGCACCCGAAGAGATGCCATCTACGTCGCAAGCCCATACACAGCAAAGAGTTCCGCATCCACAGATTGGCAAAAAGAAATTTAAGAATAAAAATATGAAAAACCGACAAAAAAGTAATCAATCTTCTAATAAGCCCATAGACGTCGTTAAAAGTTTTGACTACAAAAATGTAGACTTTAAAAAATTTCAAGGAGGAGCACAACGTGCTAAGGGTATGGAATTAAAACCACAGTTTCATGGAAAAGTAAGTTGTGTTTTATGACTACAATGTTTTTAGCTATTATTTAATACTTGCTTTCATTTTCAGAGCAATTCAAATAAGGCAAATAACAAAAAGTTTAATAAATTATTTACATTCAGCAATGTGAGAGGTAAAAAGTAGCCATCTGACTATTAGGACTGCGTAGCACTTTCCCCTAGTTAACTATCTGCGCTAGAATTCTTGGACGTTAAACGATTTGTGAAATTTCTTTTATAATTTACAATATTTTTTATTATATTTTATAAAACTATACTAGAGTGCAGTGTGAAAATATTTGCTTTGCGGTAAAATACAATATTTCCTTACAGTTAAATATCTACAGTTCTATGCATCTACACAAAAAATAGGTTCTGAATTTTGTATTTAACACATATGTACATAAATTACTATTATTTTTTCCATTTTCATTAATTTAAGTTTAATTATAGCTGTTTAAACATTTTTTCACCTTCTCTGTCCATACAATATTCGACGACTGCATAAACCACTAAAAGTCTGCGTTCCACGCCACGTTTATGCTTATCTGTAATCAGCGGAAAGAGCGCATCATGCTTGGAAAGACGATCAATGAGCTCAGTGAGCACGCCACCGGAAAATACTTGCAGTCGATCCCACGTTGATTTCCGAATTCTATTAAAATTCAATTATTAAATGCAGTGATTTACATACATGAGGGAAAAAAGTGTACTTACAGACAGCACTGATACAGTGGTGCTAAAATATCCAGGTGGTCTTTGTTTGGATTTCCAAACGCTTTACCATTGTCTATGAGCACTAAACGTTCTTCCCGCGTCTCGTAGTGATGGCGATCGCCATTTTGTATTAGATAATCAAATATTGCCGCATCGATAAGGTCTAATAACCGAATAGTTTCCATTTTGTCCTTCAGTGATCTGATTTTATCAAGATTATATTATGTGTTTATTAAAAAAAAAACACATTAAATACACTTTATTTCTTTCCGCTTTCCACTTACTTGCAATAGGTCATGTCATCTTCCCAAGGTGCGCGTTTATCGTCTTTGTACGTTCGCTGCCATGGCGATCGACGCTTGGACAATGAGCCCGGTATAATATATATTAGCACGCCCTCTATGTTATTATTCTCATCGCCGCACACCGTTTCCTCTTCATTGCAATAGTGACATTTTCCAAAAAGACAATAATGTTCGGTACCATTTTCCCCTTCTGTGATTGTCATTGAATTTTTAAGTTCGTTATCACCCTTGTCATATAGATCTGTCTTCAAATTAACCACTCTTCCTACAACTATGGGTGTCCACCTCAAGTCCAATACAGCGCCCAAGTAAAAGGCATACACTTCCGCTGTATGCCGATCTTTTCCAGCATATACGGGGCCATCGATTACTGCATCACGTTCATACCACTGCGGTTTAAAGATAATTTTTTGCTTATTAGCTAAACGCACGAGCAATTTCAGTTGTGTGCCTCTCGCCAAATTAGTGACTTTAGTGAAGGGTTCGAGGCGCAATGTCTGCAATAGTTGAGCCATAGATGTGTCGTAGAGTGGATAGATTTCATTTTCTTGTGGCCACTTAATAAGACATAAATGAGATAATTAAAAAATTATGTGAATTTTAATGTTAATATATATGTATGTATGTGTGTATGTATATATACCCAGTTCGCAATATCCCAGAGGACAGATGCATTTTCATATGGGGCCGGTTTATAGTTTTTCNTGAGATAATTAAAAAATTATGTGAATTTTAATGTTAATATATATGTATGTGTGTATGTATATATACCCAGTTCGCAATATCCCAGAGGACAGATGCATTTTCATATGGGGCCGGTTTATAGTTTTTTAATAATTTATTTCGATACATAAAAAGTCGTGGATTCCGATTCAAATATGCTGGATGCAGTTCGCGTATCTTTTGGCGTATCATATTCTCCAAAGCGCGTGTGCTGCTTACATGTGGAACTTCTTCTGCGTTTAAATAGTACATGAAGTAGAAATTGGCGCCAGCAACTAGACACACGAGACTCACCAGAGCGACAACTATGCCAACAGTGCGTTTGTTTGCAGCCATTGTAACGTTTATGTTATTGGTGGAGAGTTAAAAGTGGTGGGTGTCTTTTAATCTGTCAGAAAATAATTGAAAACCATACGTCACTTATTTTAGCAAAAAGTTACACTGGATCACAAATTTTAGTTTGGTTTTTCTTCTCCAAGCGCCACAATCCAGTTTCTAAGTAGAATTGCTCGGTGATTCCGAAAATCGAGTTAATTTTTTTTTTCTATGGATACGTTTTTGAGTTATTTGCAATTTACCGTTATTCAGCTTAAAACGAAAAATGGTTCCACTTAATCGCGTATATCTTACGAACCAATATATCAATCTTTAAAATGAGATACGTCAAATCAATGCTAATAAAATTCTCCATAAACTATATATATATACTTCACTTTCTGATAGGACAGATAGTTACCGACAAATTAAGTAATCATTCCAGTTTTGTTTTTAATTTTTTAATAAAAACATGAAAAAAATCAAACTTTAACAGAACTAAAAGTTAAGAAATAGCAGGTCAATATAAGGTCCAGTGCCGGATTTTTGCATTTGTGCTAAAGCAGGTGTACGTGGCGTATGAGTAACTTTCTTTCCTGCTAATTGTTCATACAAAAAATCGGAGTGAATTTTCATTTGACCACTCATTACTTCTTTATGTATCTATTGCTTTTCTTCCTTAGTAACTTGTTTTTTTTTTTTTTTTGTAACAGAACAGGCTTTGGCACAAACGCAAAAATTTGTCGCAGAACCAGTTATTTTTTAAATTTTTCTTCTGTTAAAGTTTGATTATTACTAATTTTTTTACTAAAAAATTGAAAAGTGTAATGATTAATTAATTTGTAAGAAAATATCAGTCCTATCGTAAAGTGATGTATAAATGTTTTATATTTATGGAGAATTTTATTAGCTTTGATTTGACGTATCTCATTTTAAGATTGTTAAATTGGTTCGTAGGATATACATACGTGATTAAGTGAAATTAATTTTTGGTTTAAACTGAATAACGGCAAATTGCAAGTATCTCGACAACGTATCTATGGAAAAAAATAACTCGATTTTCGGAATCAGCGAGCAATACTACATAGAAATTGGATAGTGTCATCCACTGAACATTTTTGCTGTAAACCAGTGCTGGTAGTGATCCATTAAATGTTACTTATATATGTGACCAATAATTATTAAATACTCGCCTTTCATCAAAATATCCCGAATAGCGATTCTCTTTAAACGCCTTTTCTTATTCCTCTCGCATTTATTTAAAAATGTATTTAAGTGGCTGGCCGGAGTTCAAAATTATAGGTATGAGAAAAGACAAACTCATAGCGGAAGCAAACAAAAATTTCTACAACAAATTGCAAATCTGTGGCCCCCTAAGTCTTCTTGTCTATGAATTTTCGTTTACAATATTAACATTTGTTTATATTGTCTACGCGCCATCACCACTGAAAGCGTCACAAGACGCGATGTTTGCCGGCAGCTGCTGATAGTTGGCTCTCTACGTCGTTGTCTTGATTTTGTCCTTTAGTCGCTTTCTGCCGATGACAAACTCATCAAAGTTTAGCTAATAATAAAGGCAACAACAAAGTGATTTTTTAGACTTTTTCGACCCTTAAAATAATTTCTCGCTTTTTCACGATTTCGCTTGTTTGCTGCGTTTTGTTGGCGTATGCAGAGGTGAAGTGTTAAACGTTTCAAAAAACTTATTTTTAATTTAAATTTTAACTCGGTGACGTGCCTTTATATGATTCTATTATGCTCATATGCATTGGCAAATATACGTGGCGTAGTGATTGGCGAGCAGATTGTATTGTTCCTTTGTTGTTGAATTCTGCCTTGGGGTGGTGACCAATTTTTTGCCATATGCTGGGGAATATTTATAAGCATAAGCGATTTAACATAATGAGTTAGTTTGGTGCTGGTATGTGACGTAGAATGATTGAAACAATTTTAGATTCCCTATATTTTTGTCATTAGGTTTGCCTTTAAGCGCATTTTTTATTTGCACGCATTTATCAAACACATTGTATTTAAATAATCATCCACGTTCATAAATTCTCATACACATTCACTGACGAGGAATTTAGCTCGGATACAAACTGTATGTAAAAAAATTATGTAAGAGCATTTTTAAGTTAATAAATTAGTTGGCACAAAAAATTTTCACAAACTTCTAATTAGTTAACACACGAGCACACTGGTCCTCCAGCGCCTTTTATTGCGTTTTAAATTGTGCTGTATACAGAATTAAAACTTCACTCTAAATAGTTCTACAAATGCCCGTACATATTTTACTAGTTATGCGTATTGGTATATCCAATAAAGGTCAATCTTTCAAAAAGCCTTTTATAATAAAAAAAAACAATAAAACGATATACTACGTACATATTTTACGTACCGCTGAGAACATCTAAATGCGTTAACGTGTGGCACACTTCTGTGCGGCCCAACTAATTTTAAAGCGTGCTTGGTGCGCTCTATTGCCCATAGAAGATATTTTCTGGTGAGCGTCGCATTGCATGGGACCTACTTGCCGTTGTCTGCGTCGACGTTTTCGTTTTGTTTTGATTTTGAAATAACTCATTAATTATGGCACTTGACTTCAATTAAATTAAATTCTATTGTAACAAAATTTGCCGAATGTTAGCTTGGTAGCTGGCAAGACAAAACATTAATGCGTATGCAACAGCTGCCACGGACGCAGCGACAGCAAACATTTCCTCTAATGCAAAGACAATTAGTAATTGGCAAAAGACAGCAGAGCCTACTGTCGGGTAAGTTGTCGCTGCTCACAGCCAACAAGCGATGTCGTGCCCGAATGCGACCCCTTCAGATGCTTCTAGCCCCACATGCTTTTCTGCAGTAGTTCTGTAAAAATTACATTAAAAATCACAAATAGAACGTGTTTTCATACATTTGGCCATATGTATGTATGTACGTATTATCAAAACTTTTGTTTATATTTCAATTTATGACGTATACAACACCTGCCTTTAGGACAATTCAACCAAGGTGCTCGGCGCTGTGACGGTGACGCTTGCAATATCGCGTATGCTGACAAGAGGAGCGGCGTGCATCCGGAGAGACTCGAGCGCGCCAAAAAACATTCCCTTCTTAATAATTTCAACACTAGCCACTCGGCAAGAGCATTCGAATGCAAATGCTATGTAAATATTACTTAGTTTTCTAAAAATAAATTGTTTATAGGTGTTTTGTTAGTCGTTTGTGTATAATTTGATCAAAATAAAATTAATAAACTCTTCCCGCAAATCAGCTGT